ATAAGAAGCAGATGGTTCTGTACTTCATATTCTAGTGCGTCACCGTACACATACCACAAGAAGCTGTTGGTTCCATACTTCATATTCTAGTGCGTCACCGTACACAGACCATAAGAAGAAGATGGTTCTGTACTTCATATTCTAGTGCGTCACCGTACATAACCACAAGAAGCAGTTGGTTCCATACTTCATATTCTAGTGCGTCACCGTACACATACCACAAGAAGCTGTTGGTTCCATACTTCATATTCTAGTGCGTTACCGTACACATACCATAAGAAGCAGATGGTTCTGTACTTCATATTCTAGTGCGTCACCGTACACATACCACAAGAAGCAGTTGGTTCCATACTTCATATTCTAGTGCGTCACCGTACACATACCACAAGAAGCAGTTGGTTCCATACTTCATATTCTAGTGCGTCACCGTACACATACCACAAGAAGCAGTTGGTTCCATACTTCATATTCTAGTGCGTCACCGTACACAGACCATAAGAAGCAGATGGTTCTGTACTTCATATTCTAGTGCGTCACCGTACACATACCACAAGAAGCAGTTGGTTCCATACTTCATATTCTAGTGCGTCACCGTACACATACCACAAGAAGCAGTTGGTTCCATACTTCATATTCTAGTGCGTCACCGTACACAGACCACAAGATGCAGTTGGTTCCATACTTCATATTCTAGTGCGTCACCGTACACATACCACAAGAAGCTGTTGGTTCCATACTTCATATTCTAGTGCGTTACCGTACACATACCATAAGAAGCAGATGGTTCTGTACTTCATATTCTAGTGCGTCACCGTACACATACCACAAGAAGCAGTTGGTTCCATACTTCATATTCTAGTGCGTCACCGTACACATACCACAAGAAGCAGTTGGTTCCATACTTCATATTCTAGTGCGTCACCGTACACATACCACAAGAAGCAGTTGGTTCCATACTTCATATTCTAGTGCGTCACCGTACACAGACCATAAGAAGCAGATGGTTCTGTACTTCATATTCTAGTGCGTCACCGTACACATACCACAACAGGCAAGTTGGTTCCATACTTCATATTCTAGTGCGTCACCGTACACATACCATAAGAAGCAGATGGTTCTGTACTTCATATTCTAGTGCGTCACCGTACACATACCACAAGAAGCAGTTGGTTCCATACTTCATATTCTAGTGCGTCACCGTACACATACCACAAGAAGCAGTTGGTTCCATACTTCATATTCTAGTGCGTCACCGTACACAGACCACAAGATGCAGTTGGTTCCATACTCCATATTCTAGTGCGTCACCGTACACATACCACAAGATGCAGTTGGTTCCATACTCCATATTCTAGTGCGTCACCGTACACATACCACAACAAGAATTACTGTCAACCTCATTGAGCTTGTGTGTCACTCTTCCCAGTCGTTTGTAACAATACTTCTGGATGTCACCTTATTTGTTGACGTGTTTGGATTAAGTCGTCTCGTTAAAGCTTACCGTGTCCGATAGGGCCTTAAACAGTGATGACAGCCCATTTAATGACATATTGTTGTCATGGTTACATTATAAATCCGTAATATAGACAGGAAAATATTTCATGTCTGTATATGGTAAGCAATCATGATGGTATTAAATGGAAGAATTGTTGTATATCGGTGAAAAATAGCATATTGTTTTATACAGCTATATGCTCATTTCTTACGTTAATGGTCAATGGTATTTTCTCATGGTCACAGACGCTACTTATTTGACTGTGGAAAAACAATGTGGATATTCTTTTTAACATCATTTCAAAAACATAAAATACTTCACTATAAGGCAATTCCATCGTTTTGAGGCTCATCACCGAACTCTTTTATTATGCATTAGCAAAGTGAACACCAGTGAGAAGAACTCCTTGTCTGACAGAGTTGTAGTTGGCATAAGAACAATCTCTTCATCATTTTCAAGTGAAGAAAAATATTTCTATATTTATAACAGCCTCTTAACTTAAAAAAGTAATTATTCAGAGTGAGAAGGTAAACCTACTTATTGTACCGCTGCTTTCTAACGTGTTTGTCGAGCTGTAGTGAGATATGACCTTTGGGGCAAGTGTAATCATCGTTTGAAGTGTTGCATGCGAATAACGTATGGCAATGTGTTTTCATTTAATTATTCCCTTTTGGGAGTCGGAGACATGGGGTACGGATGGCAAGTTCGCACTGACCCAAATACCTCATTAAAATGGACTTTATTTTTCTTTTTTCAAAGTGAATACTCACAGTACTGCATTAAAGTTACCTGGGTCAATAGATCACTGTGAACTCGAATTTCATTATCAGCTCCCTGGGAATCATACTTGTTGGAATGTATATTAATGAATCGATCGATGTGAGTTTTGCGTAACGATTTAGCTATGTGCAATTGTGTTGATACAAGGTACTGTTTTAATGCCATGCTAATTCTTTATAAAAATGGTAGTCATGACAACTGGAAACAACTTATCTGTAAACTCAGTTCCCAAGCAGGACAGATATTCCACAAGCGTCGTGATAGAATAGAGTGCAAAGCCCCTCGCAAGAGCCTCAGGGAGTCTAGCACCAAGCTTAAGTCCCGAATTTGCACTCGTTGACATCTGCGAACTTCTACCATTGATTTATGAGCAATCAAAATCGTGGCATCTCCTAGCTCATTGATATAGTTAGCAAGTAGGTCAGTCTCGATGTACACCAGCACTAGGTGAATACAAGGGAACTCCACAGCACTCCTTGACCCTCGTAAAGACAACGCACATTTCACATAGGGATGACAGGCGGGCTTTTTTAATGTTTGACGACCTTGACCTTGCATATTCTGTTTTGTTTTCATCGGCGGTGCACGGCCTTCTGCTTCATTAAGGTAAACAGAACGGCTGAGTTATTTTAAAGGAAGGGTTTGGCAAGGATATTGATTGTGTGCCTTGTTATTGAATATTGAAAGCTTGATATTTCATACACAGCTGCACAAGTTCTCTGTAACCCAAAAGAACCCTGTGCGGAGTTAACGTTTATTGAATGCGGTGTTCATTTAAAGGCTGCAGTGTATGTTCAATTGATGTTGTATATGTTTAATGGGTGCAGCTATTATTTCGTGGATGCGGCGTGCGTTTAATGAATGGGGGCGGTGGGGTAGCCTAGTGGCAAAAGCGTTCGCTCGTCTCCTGGAAGACACGGGTTCGATTCCCCACATGGGTACAATCCCATTCCTGGTGTCCCCCATCGTGATATTGCTGTAATTTTGTTAAAAGTGGCGTAAAACTAAACTCACTCATTCACTGTTTTAATGAATGAATGCGGTGGACCTTGAATGGATGAAATGTACATTTAACTGATGACGTACTTTTCATGCATGAAATATCTTTTGAATGAGGCAATGTATGTTTAACGTATGCAGTGTTCTTTTAATGGATTTAGAATACTTTTCATGGATTCAGTGTATGTTAAATACAGTGCACGTCGATTGAATGTAGTGTACGTTTATTGGATGAAATATCTGTTTTATGAAGGCAGTGTATGCATAATAAGATTCGGGTTCGATTCCCCACATGGTAACTGGTGTCCTCCGCCGTGATATTGTTCGAATATTGCTAAAAGCGGCGTAAAACTAAACTCACTCACTTATAGTTCGTATGACTCTGAAGGGAATAAAGCAAAACCACGACACAAATGTACACATCTACTCATTCCCGGATTCTCTGTGTTATCCATCTCTCTCACACACACGCACGCACGCACATACGCACGCACACCTTTGGTAAAATTCATAAACAGTTCCTTTCAATTTTATATTTTGTGAAACATTTCACACGTTCCTGGGATGTATGAAAATGTAAACACGCTCGATATACACTGTTTTGTCAGTACTCTATTGGTCTCGCATAACCCGAGGCAACCGCCCCACGCTGTGAACACAGAAGCGTTGTCGCTGTTGTAAATACCAAACACTGAAGACTGCACTGAGGCGCGGATTTATTGGACTTTGTCTCAGGTTTATGTCTGCGGGCGATGCAGAATTGTTAAAGATGTCCCCATGATACGACACATTTAATACTTACATTTAACCTCTAATAGACGATTAAAGCGCAATGCAATGTTTTTTCTGACAGTTAATTGCAAAGAGTGCACAAGACCCCGTTCTACAAACGATTTTATGATCACGAATATCGTAACTCATAATTTAACAAAGTCTCACGATGGTGGTTGCGATCTTTTTGTGAAACAGGGATTAGATAAATAGATTACTTTCAACAAAGAATCATTGTACGCGTACACACTGCTATAGTCAGTGTGTGGTTATTTTATGTTTGTAAAGGTATGAGGTGTGTATCTTATTTTTAACTTTTAATGGATATCGGGAATCTGTTGCTTCAAGTCTTTTTTTCAGCGTTTGGGGCGGTGGGGTAGCCTAGTGATTAAAGCTTTCGCACGCCACGCCGAAGACCCGGGTTCGATTCTCCACATGGGTACAATGTGTGAGGCCAATTTCTGATGTCCCTCGCTGTGATGGAATATTGCTAAAAGCTGCGTAAACTCGCTCACTCACTTTTTCAGCGTTCAGATTGGAATCAATGTAGGTTGTTGTGAGTGCCTTTATGGTAAACTTCGACAAACGGATGATATCGTTTGAAACTTCATACTGTTTGCATGGTGGTATGGGACGAACAGAGGTTACGCACCTCGTTACACATTGTTAGCTTTAAGATATATTTATTACTTCATTTTGTATTTAAAAAGAAAGGCAGTGGAGAAGCCCAGTGGTTAAGTCGTTCGCTTCTCCCGCCGAACGAGCGAACTCTGGTTCGAGTCCCAACATGGATACAATGTGTGAAGCCAGTCCATTTCTGGTGATATTGCTGGAATATTGTTGAAACAGCAATACTCACTCATTGTATTCAAATGAGAAATATGTGAACTCAGCTGAGCAGAGCCAGTAAGATGACTGAAAGAACATCAATTAAAACAGTTTTCCTATTTTCCAGCTATCGCTTGCCGACCTTGCTGTGTATGACGTCATGGAGTATCCCCTTGACCAAGGACAGGACATTCTCAAGGATAGCCCAAAGATGAAGGCGCACCGAATTCGAGTGGGTAGCCATGACAACTTACACAACTACCTCAAAGAGCGGGTCAAGACTGTCATCTGAATATGTCATTCATTAATGACATCATCTCGACGTCATCTTTTTGGCTACGTACGTGTATACATGGCAGCATATTCAATATCGCATGGTTGTTGACAGATTTCTGTATGAATGTTATATACTGCATACGATTTAACCAGAGATAGTCAGATATTTATTTAGTGTAATCAACCAGTTCAAATAAATTCATCTACTATAATGGGACTGTGGGGTAGCCTAGTGGCTAAAGCTTTCGCTCGTCACGCCGAAAACCCGGGTTTGATTCCCCACACGGTACTATGTGTGAAGCCCATTTCTGGTGTCCCCCGCCGTGATATTGCTGGAATATTGCTAAAAGTGGCGCAAAACTAAACTCACTCACTCATCTCATACAGAGGCGGCCTAGTGGGTAAAGCGTTCTCTCTTGAAGCGTCAGACCGGGTTCGATTCCCTTTTTGGATACAAAGTGTGAAGTTCCTGCTTAGGTAACAGGAACATAGCTAAAATTTGCAGAAAAGCATGCTCACACTAAATTTCGATTGTTAACAATATATTCTCCATTTTACAAAACATATCTCAGATGTAATATCTATAGAGTACTGAAAATGTTCCAACGAATTCCCTGCTGTCCTGCTGATGGATGCTCATGCTGTTCATCACTGGATTGTCTGGTCCAGACTCGATTATTTACAGACCGCCGCCATATAGCTGGAATATTGCTGAGTGCGGCGTTGAACTAAACTCACTCACTCACTCCTGCAACTTTTGAAATCAGCCCTATCAGACAATGTCCGAGACAATCCCGACCACAGCATCCAGTAGGACAGAATCAAAAGCAATCTTACTGCTCCAACACAGAATTTCTTGAAAATGTGAAATTTTCCACATATCCGTCACGTTATTCATTTGTCTTGAAAATATTTCTATTAAATCGTATGTTTTCTATAATATAGTACAGGGCTGTATCGTCGAGTTAGTAATCTAATTTGATCCATTGACTAGCGTGTGTCAAACACGCGAGAAACATAATGCGTCTCTGTATATCTCATTAAGTCTGTGTGTCCAATATTACGATTATGGTGCTCGTTCAATTTCTCCTTGGCATACGCTGTCTTAAGCCTTATCACGTTAACATACGATTGTCAAAGAAAGGCGTTTTTTATAAACAATAAGAAGAGAGTAAAGTTCAAACTAACACATTTTATTGTTACATGACTTCAAAATATATACCACGTTAGTTCCATGTTTTTGTGGTATATTAGGGTTAGTTTGAGAGACTTACTATTCCAATTCATATTTCAAGAAAGATTTAATTTTTGAATAATTCATTTAAACAATAATTTTCAAGAAAACCCAGGACCATTTTTCAATAAGTTTTAACCAACCCAATCCTATCAACGACCCTCCAGTCCTATTCCAACCTAACCCCACGCCTACCTGTCTAATGTTCGGTCAATACGTTTTGTGTAAAAAAGTGGAAAAATCCTCATTTACATATTGAACGGGCATCTCTGTTTAATCGATGTCTGTATGTTTGTTAAGTGTAAGAGGCATTTCTTGTCTCCAACCAAAGAACAACCTCATCCTCATGGTGTTTACTAAATGTTCGATACAAGCAATACTTTTTAAAGAACAGTGTAAGTACAAACAAATGTTCCTCAAGATAACCTTTTAGAGGTGCTTCAAACGATGTTATAATAATATTGGGGAGTTTGTCAATTGTAACCATTTTGATAGAATATGAAAGCTTCTTTCATGCTAACACATTTTGTTTCGAAACAAGACAATAGGTAACACTGACATATATAACTAGTTTTCGTAGTTAATTTTGTTGCCTTCTTTAAATTATGCAATTCCAAGTTTTATCGAATTAAGGTCAATTCAAATACTAACATGGCGAACGTTGCCAGAATAAATTTTACGGGTGCTTCAAATGATGCTCCCACGAATCATATTGTAATTTTATTAGGTAATTATCTATATGAAAAATAGGTACAACCAGTGTGCGAAATAGTTTCCAAATTGTGCTAGCCAGTCGAGCTATGCTTTGCCTGAAAGTTACGAGCCCACAAAATAATTAACCACTAATTCATACTTTGAATGTAGACACGGGTTTCATAAATTTGATCAGTCCACGATGTTGCATGATTATAACTTAACAAGTCGGAGAGAGTGACATATTTACAAAATGACCCCATGAAAATTCACTTGCCAGTCGAGCCAGTGACTGAGGAGATTTACTGGCCCGACTGGAGTTTTACTAGCCGCGGGCTAGCGGGCCAGTGGTTATTTCGCACACAGGGTAGAACCTTATAGAATATAGGTTTCCTTTATGACAAAATCACCATCCTGAAACCAAAACAGTAGTTAATACAAAATGATTCAAGAATGTGCTTCTAAGTGATTTATACGGGTTTTTAGGAGGATTTTAGGAGAAGATTACTGTATCATATTTGCATACAATTGTTCTGTTTGTCCTGTGTATATAGTCATTTGTATAACAATTATTCATCCCTTGTCGATTATAAACTTCATAAACTTATAAATCAGGATTATTTGTTGGAATAAGAACACTGCCCGATTTAATCATGTGCTCAGGAAGTTTTCTAAAAGACAAAAATCACACATATGCTTTAACATCATACAAGTTCCGCTTAACTACAAGAATGGAATTTTAAAAACAAAAACAAAGTAAAAGTATAGTACTCGATGCGAAATAATTATGAGTCTTTACGTTAGGTATTCAAGAGAATGGAAATACAGAATATCCTTTTCAGTCAGCGCTTTTGTGCAAATGGCCGATACCTCAGTTCCATCAAACAATACAAAATGGAAATAGAACACATTTCAAGTGAATCGGTTTCCGATTTAGTTAACATGTTTCATATGTGTTTCGTCATTCTTACAACTTCTAAAGGGGAAGTACCTTTCAAATGGCTCCTTAACCTTATTTAAGCCCGATTAGTATTTGACAAATCAATGTTGCAGATATACACATATATAATAGGGCTTGATTATTCTAATCTTTCTATCAATATATTCAGGTACATCTGTAGTCCGCCAATAACGAATTACATGTAAAATATGTACATTTACAAACATAGGGCACCACAACGATTTATTGAAAGTTTTATATTTTTTTCACAATATGTAGCCTTGTATATGTTCATTAAAAACATACGTCTCGATGCTTACATACCTTAAAGAAAGGAACTTATTAATCCCGATATATACTGACCTACAAAAGAAACGCTATCTGCATTGAATATACAAGCTGTCCAATGATTGTATGACATTTGATTCGGGGTAATGCAAATATTAACATGACAACATCTTATATAGATTTTGTAGATATGAAAGGAGGTTATGCTTGGTTATTTTCAGCTAATCAAAATTACGTGAGTAATCAGTGTTTTATGTGTTACGATTTAAGAATAATAGCACGTCAGAGAGGCACAACGTTTTCACCTTGTCTTGGTCACTCTGAAAAAAACACGAAACCGAGATTTTGTCAAGTTAACATATCAGGGTTTGACTGATCCAGATGTATGACAGTTCACTTAAATAGTATTCTTGAAATATACTTCAGTATCGCACACATTAAGAGTTATATTCTAGATAATATTCAGTGGATGCTTGTTTCATAAGCAGAGAATGAAATCTGAGATGTATAGATACATATCCAAGCTCAAGTATCAGTTGTGGACACAGCTCCTGTTACCAAAGAATAGTCAGACCAACTCATTGCTTATAGTCAGAAAAGTCCATCATTGCACGGTAGTGACATGACGAAAATGTCGGTTAGCTTTCTTTGCCATCCAAATACATCATCTTATGTTTAGCCAGTTGAGAGCAACTATGTCTTTGGTACGTGTTTAGAGTAACCAGTTCTCATAACATACAAAACGTAGTGAAAACGATTACGGTTGTAGATTTGGAAATGATTCGTGTGGAAATGAGAAGAAAATATAACCCATTTATAATTACAAGAAAAGCAACGTTTCCTTACTATACATGACGCACCGGCTGCTTGGTCATCGACCCTAACTAGGCAGTAGAAGTTGGGTCTTCGTGGACCTTAAACGGGAACTACACAGAGCCAAATTGGCAGTTTAGCAGATTTTGTCGAAGTTGGAAAAACAACAAACACTTCTTCGTTTCTTAAGGTCACAATTTGCTCCCTTTGGCTCGTAGTTTCAAAACGCCATTGCCAGAGAATCCCCCCCTCTTGAATATCAGTCGATACAGATTCCACGGGCCTTTATGCCCAATATAAATATTGGAAGGATTCCTGAAAGCTGTGATGTCGCCGGGTGTTTGTGAAAAGGGTAAGCACTTCGAACGGTGTATTGCTATCAGTACATCTTCTGAGATCTAATCTCCAGTTCCAATACTTGTTTTTAAACCCCCGACCCATAGCATACAGTAACTGGTATTTGGCTAGCTCAGTGGATAGTGTGTTCAAACATGTTCAATCTCCAAATTTGGAAACATTGTATTAGTATTATGGGTGTCGTTCCCACCTCTGTTGTCTCATTCTTTGACTGTCATGATAGAGGTTTGGTAAGGTGATTTTCAGTGCTGGTATGGAAGACAACATCTTTATTTCAGTTGCGACGTTTCGGTGCAGAAGCTATTTTCTTTATAGTTATACAACAATAACTAAGCAAGATTTGTTCATGGTTATAACTCCTTTATCAGTTCATGATACTCACTATTTATCAGTTTAAGTTACTAGCTTCTTTATCAGCTCGTGGTGCTAGCTCCTTTATGAGTTCATGATACCGTCTCTTTATCAGTTTAAGTTACCAGCTCCTTTGTCAGTAAGTAATGCTAGCTCCTCTATCAGCTCGTGATACAAGCTCCTTTATGTATTCATGATATCAGCTCCTTTATAAGTTCATCACATTAGTTGTTTGATCAGTTAAAAACAACTCCTTTATCACTTCATGATAACCGCTACTTTATCTGTTCATCATATATCAGCTGTTTGATCACTTCATGATAACCGCTACTTTATCTGTTTATCATATCAACTCTTAAATCACTTCATGATAACCGCTACTTTATCTGTTCATCATATATCAGCTTTTTGATCATTTCATGATAACAGCTACTTTATCTGTTTATCATATCAGCTCTTTGATCACTTCGTGATAACAGCTACTTTATCTGTTCATCATGTATCAGCTCTTTGATCACTTCATGATAAACGCTACTTTATCTGTTCATCATATCAGCTCTTTGATCACTTCATGATAA